CACATTGGACTCCACTGAGAAGAAATCCCATCATACTGCTGCTTAAATGTTCACTACGTCAGAACTTATTCAGTAAATGTGTTTCATCTCTGCTTTTACGCATTAACTCTTACAGGATGGAGGAAACTGGTCTTGGTGGAGGTTTACACTCTCCCAGTGCTTCTAGTTTCAGTTAGTTTTAGTTAGTTTTGTAAAAGGATTCTACAGTTTTAGTTAGTTATCGTTTCTTCATTTTATTACAGATTTTATTTATTTCAGTTAAATAAAATGTTTTTTCAAGTTCAGTTTTCATTATTTAGTTAGTTTTAGTTAACTATAATAACACTGCCGAGCAGCCGCGGGATGCGACAATCGTGCGGTTTCTCTGCAAACCACGATGATATTAAACATTTCCCCCTCAAGGTACTGCCTCTCAGATGTGACCCGGCTTTAAAAAAAGATATTTCTATCGAAGCGGAGGTGCAGGTGTCAGGTGCTCAGCTTGAGCAGAAAAAAAAAGTGAGTCTAAAAGTGTCTATAAAAAGAAAGGAGTCTTAATTTCTTTTCTTTACACCCTCCAGGCTTTGATTTGTAGCTCGACAACACCTGAGAAAAATAAAAATAAAGAATCAGCGCTGTCACTATACTGGGCTGACTGCTGGTGCCGGAGTTTCATCACCGCAGTGTGCAAATATAAAAATCTGTCACACTGCAGGTGAAAAGGAGGCTCTCTGCTCAAACCCATTTTCTCAGCCGGCTGTCGTTCGCTTGCTTTTGTCAATATTTCAACAGAGTTCGAGTCTCCGTCTCATTGAGATTACTGTCAGTGTTCAAAACATGCTCACATTTTCTGCCAGTGAGGCAATAACCAAAGACAGCTGTGGATTCATGTGGCTCAAAAAACAGCATTTTAGATGTGTTTCTTCGTCTGTTAGCAAAATATCTTGTGAACCACAAGATGGATTTCAATGAAACTTTCAGGAAATCATCACTTGATGTATTTCTATAAATGTTTAACATTTGGTGCCACCCCAATTCAAGATGGCTGTCATAGCCAGCTGAACTTAGAAAGCACAAAAATGATAGTAGCTGGGTTATTTTTACTGATTTTGTGCTAAAATATGGTGTGGTAATAGCCGAGAGTCATTCACAGCGCATACTTCAAGTGCTCCTCGTTACATGAGATCTATGCTTGAACTTTAGCATCAACTGTTGGAGTCAACTCTGTCTGTTAGTAAAATATCTCATGCACCACTGGACAGATTTTAACGAAGCTTTCGTAAATCATTTTGTGGACGTGCATCTACGTCTGATTAAATTTAGGAGTAAATCTAATTCAAGATGGCTGCAACAGCTATTTTTTTATTCTTTTTTTTTTAATATGCACAAAATGTCTAGCTTTTCATTTATTACATAACATTTATCTCCATAGCAAATGAAAAAAAGAGAAAAAAATGTAAATAAAAAAATAAGGAAGCTCAGAACTGTAAAACCTGTACAACCAAAAAGCAAATCGATTAGTTGGCAGAATGAAAAAGGAGTGAGTAGAAGCACAGCTGATTATACCTCACCCCTGTGTTCCTCTAATACAGCCATATGAACCCATACACACATATTTATACACACATTTATACTTTGTGCTTCCCATGGTTTTCAATTTATAGAATATCCATCTCAAATTATCATTAACATCTCAACTTGTAATAGGAATGAGCGATACGGCAAAAAAATCACATCATGATTTACATTATGAGTGGCGGTAACGATATATATCACAATATAAAACTTATAACAGAAAATAAATAAATCACACATTAATTGAGTGGAATAAATA